ATGTCAATGAAGTTTTCAGTTATAGATGACCCACGCTGAACTGTCCCACCAAACTCAATGACAGGGGGGCGCTACCATCGTTCAACTATATGGTTTCCAACATGGCAAAAATCGGAACCAGCGATCCGGTATAGACGGTGGCGCCCCGCTGTCAATGTCATGCACAGGACAGTTCAGTATTTTGGAACTATACTGTTGCCATTAAAAGAAATTAGTACCATTAGTTTTCCGCAACATGGCGAGGGTTTTTATGTTCCTGGTCAGGCTATACAACGAAAGTGTAGCACGTATGTAGCTTTACCTACTTATGATATTGCCAAAACTTTCTCACAGACTCAAAGAGTTTATCAAAATCATAAAGATTGTTCAGGAAATTGAGTTTCTTTCAAATTCTTCATAAGAAACGGCAGTTTTATAGGTAAACACCAGGCACCTAAAACTTCGAAAATATTTAAAGGTGTTTCATGAGATTTTACTGTGTTCAGCTAATTTATTGTCAAAGTTTGCACGATACCTTAAAAACACACCGAGTGAAGTCAGGGCGAAACGCTAGTAATAACATAAAACATGGAAAATATTAGCTACTAAAAAGACTAAGTACATTAAAACTCTATTGTTTTATAGGGGTTTCATTGATCGTGTTACGACCCCATAAATATATTTACAGGTAATGCAATAAAAGGAAACAAGTGTAATTTAGTTAAAAAGAACCTTCATTGCCGATAGCCTATCGCTAATGTATTACTTGAAGGCTGTAGGTAAATATTTTAAATATTAAGATAGAAATCTTGGAAGTATTGGGGAAGGAAATTGGATTAGAGGGGTTCTATCTGATGCTAATATAGCCGCTGGCGAGGTTTTAACGTAGCGATATAAGTGTTGCATGCGGCGCGAGTTGCGCTATCGCTGCGCTGTTCAATATTAAATGAGTAGCGCCACGGCTGCTGTCCGCCGTGATTACCCCAGCAATCTAATAACCTGCCCCACTTGTCTCCATTAACTGTCGTATCTACGTTTTGCATAATTCCGACCTACCGCGCTTTAACGACAGAACGACGAAATAACGCAACGCGTTACACATTATTAACGAAGATTTAATGAATATTGTATAAGCAAAATTAATACGGGACGGGCATATTTACAAAGCCAGTTCAAAGCCGCGCTCTGCTATTATAATTGGGTACCCGTGTACTGCGCCGAACCTTTATCCTATATACAGTGTGAGTCACGTTAAAGTGTACACATGAAAATAGATAAAACTAGACCTATTTTTATCGACAAAAAAGAGGTCAAAAATTTTTTGAGATTTTTTTTAAATTTTTTATAGAATTTTTTTTCTTCCAATTACTTATTGTAAAGAAAACGTAATAACTTTTAAACTAAGCGGTATATCCTGATAAAATAAAAACAGTCATAATGCTAAATAACAGGCGATACTGAAAAAATACATAAAATACCCAGAAAATGCTAACAAATAATAAAAAATGAGACTTTTTGAAAAAAATCTGCTTAAAAATTCGTATTTTTTTGGTTATTTGATAAATTTTTCAAAAAAATGCCCCTATAACAGGTGGTTTTTATTACTTTGTATTATTCTCTATCGTATTATCTTTGTAAAACCAAAAATCGCATGCCTCTATCCCTATCACAACATTTGCTATGATCGTTTGAACAAAGGCCTGCCACAACATTATTCTCCGCTACAGGTAGAGACAATTTTAGTTTTAACTAAAATGCTTATTTTACTTCGAAATCTTTTGTTTTTATTTGAAATCTAACTTGTCTTTATCAAAATTACAAATCTAGAGCCATTTTCATTTTCATTGTTAACGAAGCGTTGAATGGCGCGCCCGGAGAGGCTTAGTTCAAACAATCATTGCAAACGTTGTGATAGGGATAGGGACATGCAATTTTTGGTTTTACGAAGGTAATACGATAGAGAATAATACAAAGTAATAAAAACCACCGTTTATAGGGGCATTTTTTGGAGAAATTTATCAAATAACCAAAAAAAACACGAATTTTTAAGCAGATTTTTTTCAAAAAGTATCATTTTTTATTATTTGTTGGCCTTTTTTGTGTATTTTATGTATTTTTTTAGTATCGCCTGTTATTTAGCATTATGACTGTTTTATTTTATCAGGATATACCGCTTAGTTTAAAAGTTATTACGTTTTCTTTACAATAAGTAATTGGAAGAAAAAAAATTCGATAAAAAATTAAAAAAAAATCTCAAAAATTTTTTGACCTCTTTTTTGTCGATAAAAATAGGTCTAGTTTCATCTATTTTCATATGTACACTTTAACGTGACTCACACTGTATAATCAGATTATACCTACTGATGCCCAAACATCACTACATAGTATAAAACAAAGTCGCTTTCCTATCTGTCTGTTCCTATGTATGCCTTAATTTTTTGATGCGGTTTTTTTAATAGATACGAGTGATTCAAGAGGAAGGTTTGTGTCTACACTTAGCATCCGTGCGAAGTCGGGGCGGGTCGCTAGTTTTAGAAATAAATTATCGTAACGTCATTTATTCATAAATTATTACAAAACATCGTCCGCAAACGTCAGGTGCACAGTTAAATTTCACATCCGTTTATACAAAATCATGGAAACAAATGGTTTTGCATTTGTAGTTTCACGAACAAATCGTTGGAACACTGCCCATCTGTTCCGGTTAAACTTAAATTGTACTAAAACTTTTGGATTACTATAAAAATATGTTTTTTACTTCTATACTGGGCGAATGATTATACAGTAACAATGCGAGAATAGCTAAACCGATTTAAATCAACCAACGAGTATAAAAAAGTTATCTTGTACCACCACGTTATTGTAAAAGAAAACAATGTCACATTAGTAAAACGATTACTATGTAAGACTGTACTTTTTTAATATACTTGAATAAATCAAATTACCTACTTCAAAATCACTTTTCATAAATCTAAAGTCAAACAAGACACAACAAACATAATATGCAAAAACTAAAGTGAATATCATCGTCAGTTTGTAGTTTTTTTAATAAAATTTAAGCTGCTTTACTTTATTTAGGTTAAAATTGGCCTGGTATAAAATAATATCATCTAATCTAACTTGGTATAAATCAACAAATAATGTCAATAATTAGCAGCACGTTAAGTAAAATACCAAGTTGGTAACGTTACCTACGATCTTAATTAACAATTCCTAATTTATTTTACAAAATACAAAACCGGTAGAAATCTCTAAAAAAGACAACATTTAATTTTTATCAAAAAAAGTGTTTCATAAGCTTAGAAGCTGCCCAAAAAGTGGTTTACTATCAAACTATAAACTTATTATTAATATGCTTCTAAAGCTACAACGATATCACACATATATTTGCCATTACGGATAATACACCGCTTACAAACATTTAATAGCTTCGTAAAAACAATGTACGATGTACATATTATACTGTGTTTTCATTAAAAACATACATAATACTAAATTACATTTAAATCATGCGCATTCGCACCAAATTAATAATGCACCATTATTTCTTTTATTTAGACCATTATTAATAAGCAATCGCTAATAAATATCAACTCTAAATAATACTGCATACATGCACAACACATTAGATGAATTAAAATCTATGTTAACATAGATAACACACATTACAGGCATGTATAATAAATCACATACCTGTTACTAAATGGCACATAAGAAAGTATGAAAATATGAAGTGTTTAACTTGTTCATGTATTCTTTAAATACACATGCATTTCTGGCATACATCTATTTATGAATAACGCCTACTTATCTTTAAACCTTATTTTCTATAAAGCCCATTAAATGTTAGCGTAAATGGATATTTATAATAATGCGTAAGTTAGTTTGGAAATCTGTACAGCAGTGGTAAATTCAACATTAAAATGTATAATTAATTATAGCAACATTATGCATTGCATTATCTATGAATAATTACATTTTCAAAAATAACTTGCACGCTTTGTATACCCAATGTAAATCTACCACTGCGTCATTATAATATTAGTCAATGGAATAAACTTTGGTTAATGAGGAGTTTGCAAGTCGAAAACCATACAATGATCACGCACACCTATCCGATGGGTATCAGTGGGTTTATAAATGGCTCAATGTCAGTCAGGCGGAATCATGTAACTAAAGGAACATCGGAGAATTGAGCAGCAAAATGAAAAGTTCTATTTATGTCAGTCGAAGTGGTGGGACTTCTGTAACTGTTTGACGAACGTGCCGCAACACCAAGTGGAGGATCGGGCCGAGCGAGGCGCGGGCGGCGGCGCCGGCGCTATCAGAGGCACCCGCAGCGGCACGAGGCTCGGGTGGGACCCGCTTCGCCTCTCCCAACCACAGTTCAACTTCGGCTTACGCTCCTCGCACTCCCACAGATTGGGGTTCGACCGATTCAACTGGAATTTCCTCTCAGAGAGCAGCCGCCTGGTGTCAGGCCCGCGGTACAGATACGCGTCCGCCGCCGAGGAGCTTTTGTTCCGTTTCACTTTCGACGACTTGCTACAGCCGTAGCGCTCCGGCGTGTCGCTCCGCTGCACGAGCGGCAGTTTAGTATAGTTATAGTGAGCTATGTTAGTAGCGGGTGCGTGATATTGTACTTTACCGAGAGATAAGTGGCCGCAGTCCACTGCAGGTGCGATATAAAGGCAGCCGCATGTAACAAAATAGAAAGGTTCAGACTACCGTGTCACTGGGGTCCAAGCTGTCGTGTTGACTTGAGTTATATTTACATTAACAGTGCCTAGGCTCCGCACGTGGAGAAACTCAAAGACTTGCCATCGAATTGTTAGTAACGACGTAAATATTTATAGATGAGGCATAATGCTTATTAATTTACAAATGCAGTTGTTGAAGTTGAGAAAGATATAGTGCAAATATACCGGCTAAACTACAAAAATAATTATATTTTGTAATATCTATAAATGTTTTGGTTTCATGAAGTAATGGATTCTTTTGGTACTAAGCCAAATATTAGAAACAACCACTACTTAAAAACTGAACATATTTTAAAAATTTACACACTAAAATGTAAATAACTGAATCTATGTAAAATAATTTATAAAATCTACAATATGCGCGTACCGTTTATATATGGTACGATACTGATATCGACTAGCTACTTTGTACTTATAATATTAACTGTAATGATACTATTTAATACTCTACATAATGTTTTTCCAAAAAAAACATACTCAGATCTACCAATAAATAGTGTAAATAGAGAGATTATATAGGAAGATTACCAAAGCATGCTGCATTATCATGCATTTAGAGATGTGTGCTTAAATCGAGAGGTATAAGTAATATGCGAGTATACTAGAGTATTATAGTGACTCGTGAGGTGCGTTAATTACACCGACAACAAAAACTTTATGACGATTATTTTCAAGCGCTAACTTTAAATGACTAGCGATAAGTTTGGTTGAAACAAATACAGATCTTTCATTCTAAAAACCAACTGATAATTCGGTTTCTTGATTTTGCGTGCCTCCTCCTTGTGGACTCGAATATCTCCAGTGGTATATTGGGTACTGCATAATAAATACAGCTATGTTAGTATTAACCCTCGCCAATTATCTAATGTTACTAATAGCATTCCAATATAAGTGTTTATTTTACAATGTATAAATACGTAATTACTATGCATTAAATTCAATAAGTCCTCTAAACTACCGAATTTAATTTCAATAAACGAAATTCATTAACCGGCAAAGTACATGTCGCGTTGATAATAGCCTCGAGTAATATTTGTTAATTACTGTGATTAGGTAACAATGTTCGCTATAATTAGCATAACGAGAGCAATTTAACGAACGGCCATTGTCGACGAGGTCATTAACTGTTCGGAGGGTTACTAAATGTATACGTCACAGTATAAGATGAACTCACCTGAACTGACAGCGTTTCGACACCGCGCCGAGGTGCAGTAGGCTTCGATGACCTTCAATATGAGGGCATCTTCCTCGTAAGAGTTGGATTTGCGTTGGTGAGGCGCGTAAGGGTGCGTGGGCCCAATGTTCTCGTCTGAGCCAATCGTGAACGATTGCGGCCTCAACGGCGGCGCAGGCCTCAAACAAGTTATACTCCACCCTAAAACAATACCCCCATTAACACACAAATCCCTTCCAAGTCTCAGCAACATTTTAACATAACAAAACGTCGCACTTTACCTTTATTGCTGTAGTTCAAGCTCGATGTGTCAATGAAATCAACAGACGAGAATTTCTTTCCAATAGGTGTCTTGTTTGTTTTAGCGGGCGATTGGTCGAGAGAGTCGCAAGAGCTTAAAAGCCACCGCGCCGACTGATTTTTTTGTTTATTTTTCTGGGATTGCTGCGTATGTTGAGTGTAGCTTTGATGATTGTTGAATGAGTGTGATCTTTTGTGGTTGGTCAGCCCGGATGATAAATCAGAGTTATTGCTGTCGCTCATGGCCATCTGTAGAAAAAGTGTGATTTAGTATAAAACTTTAAAGCTGTTTTATGGAGTTATCAGAATATCCTAGCACGTTGAAACAACTATTTAAAGCGCAGCGGTTTATAGCGCACATTTGTGACTCGGCTGAGTCAGCGCCGCCGACGTTTTGTTTGTTGTGCCATATGCTAGGACGGCCTCTTTAGCACAGACGTTTTTCATTAAATATGAACGTAACTCAGTGCGACGCAAATGCACACTTTCATACTCTTATTATACAACTGATGAAAGAGTTCCTAGAATGAAAACCCAAGTCCCTAATGGGTTTTATATACTAAATAACTAACACAAAAACAAAACCACACAGTAGTTGTATATTTAAGAAAATGTCGTTGTAAGCCTTTCCATGCATTTCTTTCCTCTTTGTTAGTATGGTGAATTCTATTTACTGTGATTTTCTTTTTATGTTAGTAATGAATTAACACAGGCAAGGATGATCAAGTAAAGCACTGCAACACTGGGGAAACTAAATGACGGTATTAATTTAGCGGTTATTAAACTTGAAGGCAATGCTATCTGCAAAACCAGTGATACACAAACAGTATCTCTTTACAAAGTAATGATCCTTGCCTGAGTCGGTGACCACGGTAATCGGTAACTTTGCTTTCATCCACCAGTGCGCGTACAAATCGGAGCGGTATACCACGAAACCGGTGCCCGCTTCGCTCAAACCCTTCTGCAATTTGGACAAGTCCTCGCTACGAGATCTCGTTTTACGCAACTGTGCGCTGTCGGACTCATCGTTCGATTTGTTCTCCTTATCGAAAACATCACGGTTTCTAGGAATATTACCGCGAGACTGTCTACCCGGGGTCTCGTTCTTAGTATTTCCAGTATTTTCCCTGTATATGCGCATATGATAATGCAAACTAGGCTTCGTTCGCTCCGTTATATTCAGTGTGCTCCACTGACACGGCATTGGCTGTCGCACATTCTTAGGCAATTCAATGTGCGCGCTTGGTTTACGATAAATACGTGGCGGAGGTTCCGGCTTTAATTTTATTTCTGGAACGTACCGTTCAATGTTTCTCCGTATAGATGTTCTTTTAATCTGAGGTGATAGTACTGGTGGGTTAGCAGTAAATGTAGATTTCACATTGGTGTTAGACAAATCCGTGACGTCCAGACTGTTTTCTGAAGTGACGCTCGTCACACAAGATGTCCTAGCCGTAGATCCGAACGGCGACGTACATCTACATTGGTCTTCGAAAGCTGCCGCCTCAATTTCAGACAACGTCAACTTTTTACGACGATCATTATCATAAGGTTCTTTACTCAGAGAAGTTTTCATGTACTCGTCTTTTTTCTCTTGGCTATCTGAGTCATTTTCAATATTTCCTGTATTAGGGTAGTCATGCATATTTAACTCTGGTGAGGCAAGGTTGCAACTGCCCACAACACCTGAATCAGATGATCTCGGACTAGGACACAGTGATCTATTACAACATTCACATTTTTTAGCAATTTTATTACTTTCAGATTGCGAACTCATTCTTTGGACGCGTGACTCATCGTTTTTACTAAAACTTTCCGTCTCAACCATAGATTTGGATAATGATCGCCTTAATCTTTTGTCCGAATTAAGCGAATGTTTCCTAAACGGTATATTAGTGTTGAGGTTGACATTTAGGACCTTTAAATCATCTTCCTTGTTACGAAACATTGGGGGCGGGTCCAATATGATAGAATCCATTGGATTGTATTCTCGAGATTGTTTTGGTGAGGGTGGAGCTAAATATTGCAATAAATTCGTTGTGATAGAATCGTTGCAATCTATGTCTTCTAAATCTTCATGAGAGTAGCTTTCCTCAGTAGATTTCCACAGTTTTGGAACAGCATCCATTTTTGTTTTACAATTTGGAAAGCTTCGTCTTGTAGAAATAAAATCGGTGTCTTCACTTCCTAAAGTATTCATCTGAGTATTTTGGTCCATGTTCACTAAGTCTTCGCATGCCATATATGGTCGAACTTCATAGTTAGAATTTTCTGTACTTTCGGAATGTTGCTTAAGAATATGAAAACTATCCCAATGCCCTTGCGAATAGTCATTCTTTTCAAAATTATTACTACTCCCACTTAAAGGTATAGATTGGAAGATATTTTTTGTACAATCACCTATCACTGGTTGATTTACATCAAAATGCATATCCGGACTATTTTCGAAACATCGTACGTATCCGTAATTACTACCCCAGCTGCTACAAGACGAGGACATAGCTCGAGGACTAGCGCTGTCCATCGCGTCTTGCCGGTACATCTTATTAGACGAAATGGCTTCTGTATCGGTGCAGCTAGATGTGTACGATTCAGTAGTGTCGGTTTCTCTCTCGCTGTCACTATCGGAACACTCAGTCTCCGTTTCAACAGTGCCATCGTTATCTATTCGTAACCGAATATGGTTTTTGTGTCTCCTCCTAACCGGTAAACCAGACAACTCTAAAGCCTTAGCCCACGTCCTTTCATGTAACAACTTGCGCAACATCTGTCTGGTTATAACTTTTTTCTTAACGAGTCTCGCGAAATATTTTGTCAAGGAATAGTAAGGAGATGCAGAAGGGTAACTGGGCGGTGGAAGAGTCACATGATACAAACTGCGGCGGCTATTGTTGATGCTAGACAACGCTCCTTCGGACGGAGAGCGGGTCAGCTATAGGGGACATTACAAAGGAACTTAATAACTGATAAATAAATATGTAACTAGAAACAATAAATAAAAATATAAATAAGAAGAAATAAAAGAACTTACATGGGGTAAGGAGTGTGGTTGTCCAGGCTCATGAGTGGGACTGCTCGTGTTAGAATGTTTCTGCAGCAAGCTGACCCAGTTATCAGCTTCTGCTCTGGTTTGACACACAGCGACTATTGTGTCAATCATTGGCCCACTAATTTCAAATGCATTTTTTCGAGTATCAGTGTCATCTAGCTTGCACACTGTGATGCCCGTTAATGGAAGACAACCCTGTCAACAATATTTTAAATTAATCAGTGTTTCAGAAGTCGCTAATTCGAGAACTCAATTGACTGAGTATTGAATTCAAAACCACTAAAAATCTAATTTTACAGCAAATTAACTAACTTGCTAAATGTAGTGTGACATGCAATAAACGTTTTTAATTTGAATTTGCTTTCTGGGTTACAACACTGCAACATTTATAAAGAAGATATATCATGAAATCAGGGTGGATAAAAATCACGATTTTTTTATTTTAATCAAAAAAATCAGATTTTTTTAAAAAAATCACTATTTTTTTGATTAATTTGATTTTTTTTATTTTTATTAGGTTCTGCGATCATTTCTTTAGTTTTTCTTACGGAATACATTTTTATTTACGTAGAATTGATGTATGGAAAATTGTAATATATAATTAATATAAATATGTAATTAAAAAAATTAATTATGTGGTTATCTGAAAAATCGCAAATGTGATTGTATGGAAAAATTAAATTTTTCAGATTCTCCATACAAAACGACAATTTCATACATTAACACCTAATATTAACATTGTTTTCGAACATTACAGTTGATTAATATTAACTCCCAGCCTTTCATTAATTCCATTTTCGGTCATTGATTTAAATCAATGATTTTTATTAAAAAAATCATGTAATAAAAATCGTGATTTAAATCATGATTTAAATCAACTTGATTTAAATCATGCAACCCTGCATGAAATTACAGGTTAGTTACATTTATTCACTATCACCTCACCTCATAGACAAAAGCAGAGACCCTCTTGCTGACAGACAGCAGAAGCAACGCCGTTGGGAAGAGCACGAGGTACCGATCCTGGTGGGACGGGCCCACCGCCACGCTGCCCATGTGTAACACGTCACCCAAAGCTGCCAGTTCGCCGCCGGGCCATCCTCTCACTTCACCGGTCACTACTTGGAGTTCTAACTCCTTTTGGCGCCGTAATGCTGCGCAGCCGCTCTATAGACACGATGCAAGGTGTTAACGTGAATTAGATAAAGTACGGCCAACGAGAAGCGATACCAAATGTAAACAAGCCCAATGTCATAGGTGAACCCGTCTGACTTTGACATATTTTGGCGGGAGAACGAGACATTACGACAAATACACAAGATAGGAAGAGACATAATATATTGTCAACTCGACAGTCGCACTGTGAACCAAAAGGCCAATCTAGCTGGACAAAATTATTTAAGGCTTGGAATAGGTACTAAACGCTTTAAAAACTCTTACTTTGATATAATATGTTAAAAAAAATGAACAGAAAGCTTTTAATAATTATAAAACAAAAACCAGTATAAGCTGACCCTCTTTATTAAACATTTTGTACGTGTATGGAGGTCTAGTTAAACTGGACTTCTTAGTTAANTCGTCCCGAGTTTTACCAAACTAAACCCATTTTTTTGCCTAATTTTGAGCTAATCTGACTAAATTCTTTATAATGTTTCTTAAACAACACTCCATCACGTCTTTTTAGTCTTATCTAGCTAAGAAATAATGGAATAGTCCTGAAATTTTATTGTTTTTGTGTGTTTTAACCATTCGTAATAAAACTCGCTTCTGGTCACCGCCACTACGTTTTCTGCAAAAAAATCAAAGTTGTGCTTCAGTGTGCTGTCTACAACCTACTATTTTTTGAAGCTCACATATGTGGCTACTTCATATAAAAAATCCAGCCCGGGGACATGAGGGGCCATGTAGTTCCTGGTCTCGCAAATACAGAAAAACGTGAAAAAATACGAATTTTCATTTTATTTCTACATGTATCTTAATTAATTAATAGGCTTTAGGAAAATTTTTTTGGTTTAATAAGTAATACATACCTTCTACTTCACGATCCATAACAAAAAATTTTACAATTGTATTAGAATTAATCAGGAGACACTGATATATCAACCTCAAGAAAGTGAATAATTTGATCGTAAAATACTCACTTGTTCAAGTTCGTCTTAAAATTACTAAATTATCAGAGGATAGTTGCTAAAAATAATGACTGAATCGTAACCTCTGGTTATTAAGCTATCGTTTTTGCTAAACGAATGAAAGATATGCGATGACCCTTTTTGTCCAGCTAGATTGGGCTTTTGGTTCATAGTGAGTCGTATCGACCTTTTGTATCGCTGCTAGTTGGCCGTACTTTAGTAGAATTTATCACTACATAGTATAAAACAAAGTTGCTTTCCGTTGTCTGTTAATTTAAGCTTAGATCTTTAGAACTAGGCATCGGATTTTGATGCGGTTTTTTAAATAGATAGAATGACTCAAGAGGAAGGTTTATGGGTATAAAACATGCATATTATACAAGAGAAAAGCCGGGAAATTCCATTGCTACGCTCCGTTAGTATAAATGTAAGTACTAGCAATAAGAGGAATCCATCTTAAAATGTGAATCAAAAGATATAGGTACTTTTTAAACTATACAAAATTAATGAAAAATTGTTTTAAATGTAATGAAAAGTTTTCCTCTTTTATGCACTTTTATCAATGTGAAGAAGTATGGCCATAATACACTACACATCACACATTTTGTAGCTATAGTAGGTATTTAAAGATTATTAAACTTACAGCTATGTCCTTATACACCACAGAAGCTCTATGAGTGTCCCCTCTATCTGGGTGGGCTTCATGGACATGTCTAGCCAACTCCTGCAGCATGGCTGGGTACTTGCCAAGCCTCCTGAATGGCTTGGATAAGCCAGCAGTTAACACCAACACGCCAGGGCAGACCGCTCCTGCATTCTCCATCCATGTGTTTAGTTCTTCCCTGAAACAAATTGGTGCTTTAAAATATTGTAAAACCCACTTTAAACACTAGCACATTAAGAGTATTCTTCAAGTTCTTAATAGTCCAATACTCAGTTAAAAATAATTTCAGCAATTCACATGATGGCACTGGCACACATCGTTTGTCTTTAGATAAAATGTTATTGAACTAATTAAATTAAAACTAAACTATGTAGTTTTTCTTTAACTTACTTATACTTATCAAGAATGCACACAGCTTTTGGGTGACCAGCACAGTAAGTCTGATGAACTGATTTGATCCTTGGAGCCCACTGGAGGAACAGGCCCCCAACTCTTTGATCAGGGCCGGTTTTGGTAGCACATTCTTCCAATAGACTAAGAAACTGCTCATGGATTTGAAGAACTTCATTGATGTTTCCTGTTAACTGCTTGAATTCATCTTTGGTGAGCCTAAGCAAAAGAGAGAGAGTATTAAACAAATATAATAACAAATTCATTAAAATAACTAAGTCTTTTTACTCACATCTCACTTTTTTCAAGAGGCTGTAAAAAGTTGTTAACAAGCCCTTGCATCTCTGCAACATGTGCTTTTTCTGAGTCAATAATATCTTTGAGCACCACATTTCTAAAGGCTTGTATTTCAGAAGCTGCTCGAATCGGTGAGGTGGTCACTGAGCCAGATGGATCTAGCAAACATATCTTGATTAAAGTTTTGGTCATAAATGTTTTAATAGTACTTAAATATAACTAATGTAAAATAATTGAAATTGGTTTAAAAACCTTTTATATTGCATGATTTATTTTATTAATTTCCATTTTACCAAAACAGATACTTTACTGTTCTTTGTAAGGATTTAACATGATATTATAACTAAATGATAATGTATTATGGCAGGTTTACCTTTATACTCCGTCACATAATTACTGGGAAACCACCCTGTTGTTTCACCTAAAGTGCCCTCCCACCAGCCCCCTTCTTCCCTTTGGGTAACAGTAATAATATCACCTTTCTTGAAACATAGCTCGTCATTGTTTTTGCCCTTGAAGGAATATATTGCTTTAACAAGACAATTTTCAGTGGACATTTTGTTTAGAGCCTAGCACCATCATTTCTGCAACACAAAATGTACATAACTGTTAATAAATATACGCATCAAATATTACAAAAATATTGTATCCGTTCATCATAGCGTTTACATGGAGCTAAATACCACAAACTATGATTAATAGAAATACCAACATTCAGTATGAATGAATCACAAATGCGCCGTGCATTGGCAAGTTTGGTATTAAAGTTACTAGTTAGACCATTTTTCATATACTAAAAGCTAAATTCAGCTAATTTGGGCTTTCTAATAGCTGTAGGCAATCGAGAAACAGGAAGAACGAATATGTCAAATCTATAATGGTCACACACAGCACACACAGTAGTATCACAAGATTTAAAACGAAATTGAGGGAAAATAATAGTATTACAAGCTTATCATAAAGAAAATTAACTGTATAAGACGTTATCTACTGTACATACACGAATAACTTGCATCCAAATTTACTGAAATTCACAGAAATTAATTTTAATCAATGTCCAAAAATAAACGCGGCGCCATCTGTTTCCTATGTATTACTTTTCTCTATGGCCATCTGCAGTAAAACGTCAATGTCATATAATTTTTTTTTATGTCACTGTCACTTGCGTACAAAGACTTTGTTAATTTATAGAACTAGTAGACTGCCCAGCCACCGTGTCTCTATAAACACTCAACATTGGCAAAACCAGTGTGCTTCATATTGGAGCCATTAGACAAAATAATAATAATAGAACTTGTAGGGCCTTAAAAAAAGCACCCTTTCACATAGTTTAGTTGGCATTTTGGTATTGCCAAAATGACAACTATAGCCTGACCAGTGGGTCTAGACAAAGTGCAAATTATAATCGCAAACCAGTCGAAAAGTGGTCGAAAAGCCCCTTTTTTGTATGGAGTTTTGACGGATTCGATTATCGATTCGATCAAAAAGTGCGTTTTGTCTAAGGGGGTTTTTCGACCACTTTGGGGCCATCCCTATAAAAAGATTTTAGCATTTTAATTCACAAAATCAATTGCGCACATTTAAAATAAAGTTGTAATGGCGGATTTACATTAATAATTATAAAACGATAGCTCGTTCGCACGCGTCGAGGCGGTGGGCGCGACTGGTCAATAAGGTCGAGTTTCGCGGACCACAAAGCGCGGCGGCCGTTGAAAAGAGCGCGCCGGGTGAGCGCGCGAACCCGCGAAACTCGACCTTATTGACCAGTCGCGCCCACCGCCTCGACGCGTGCGAACGAGCTATCGTTTTATAATTATTAATGTAAATCCGCCATTACAAAGTTTGTTTACACTTTGACAGCAATAGACTGACATGCAAGGTGACATGTCAATGAAGTTTTCAGTTACTGTTGTCATTAAAAGAAATTAGTACCATTAGTTTTCCGCAACATGGCGAGGGTTTTTATATTCCTGGTCAGGCTATAAACTATGTGATTGACTTTTTATCTGAAATAACTGTTTAAGTTTATTAATTTAATTAAAATCTCTGTACATTTAATTACCTCTGATATTTTTTCTTCATTGCCTATTCCTCTTCACAAAACGCCTCCTATCCTCCTCCCCCAACTTTATGACCCTCCCTCCTTCGTTATCTGTGCCACTTACTAAAAATCTTTCAGCAGTTTGCTCTATGATTATATCATCTTTGGACTTAAATTTTTTTATGTCATTGTCATTGTCTCGTTTTTTTCTCTATGGCAGAAAATTTTGATCGATCGATTGTTGTTTTTTGTCACAGATGGAGTTTTTTGTCATGTTTGTATTGTTGCTGTAAATCTCATGTTGTTGTCCAAAGGATTTATTGAATTTAATATTTGTTTGTAGATATGTAAGTATAAAATGAATACTTTGTTTTAATAAATGTTGTACAAAGAATTGTTGCCGGTGTTGTTATATTGCGTTTTAAAAACTTTTTAGTTAATATTATTGAAAAGCTTCGTCATGAACAGTGAAAAATGAAAATAGAAAAATGCTTCTAATGTCCTTTAGAAACAAGGGCAACTATGAATTTCTGAAAGCCACATGCATATTTATTTATATATTTACCATAAGTAGTGGAAGATGGAAAAATCCTTAGAAGATGGTCTTTACCAAGCTGTATTATCACGAGATCATCAAACAGTGGCACATTTATTATGCAAAGGTAAGGTGTGTGGCGTAGAGAATGGATAATCATCATTCTGGGCTGATGTGGATTGTGTTTGTTTGCTACCATTTTGTCTGTAACTAAGGAGTACTTAATTGGGTACATAAATGTTTTAAAATATTTTCTTAATTATCTTTGGTCGTCTCTTTTGCAGGTGCTGATCCAAATAAAACCACCAGCTTTGGTAAAACAAGTTTGGGTTTAGCAGCAAACACTGGAAATCTTGATATAGCTAAACTTTTAATAGAAGCCACATTATCTTGTAGTATATCAAAAGCAACATCTATAACTAAGAAGAGGCATAAATCGAAAAAAAGGAAGTATCATCATGGTGGTCCTGCAGAAACAGTTGTGAAATATAAGAATTTAAATGACAGAAAAATTAAAGATTTTAGTTTAGGTCAGTGTGAAGATGTAAAGCAGGACAGTTTGAAACAAGAAAAAAATCAAGGTTACTTTGTAGTTATCCATAGTGAAGGTTCAAGCAGCGATGAGAGTAAAGTGTCAAGTATCTTAACTGCATCTTCGTTGACACCGTCACCTCAGTCTGACTTGGAGTGGGATGAGGAGATAGATAATGACACACCCGTAGTGGACACTAGTGAGGATGAATCCTGGACGTCAATGTACAGGTTTGAATCTACACTGACAGGTTTTCAGAAGGAGAAACATTGTAAACTAACTTTAACTAAGATTTTAAGATTTCCTATTGTTTCTAGTATCATGGATCAGCATTTTATCTATGATATTAATTGTTCTGGCGTAGATTATAATAATTAGTTCTATAGATCATCTTAGTGCTGGTTTTTAGATGGATTATAATAATATTATTTGTATTACTTACTCACTGGATCATGAGTAAAATCGGGTTTAGACTGGCAATTCAGAATATTAGTGTAAAAGTGGCTTCATTTTAAAATAACTTTTCTAGTTTTCCTGAAATATTGGAAGACTATCAAATCTTTTAATTTGTCTGTGAACAGGTGGTACGCTGCTATATTAGAAAGCACTGGTGCAGCAATAGCGTCAGCATCAGCAGCAACTTATGGTGTTGATCAACAAGATTCTTATATGAGAACAGCTCTTCATTATGCAGTAGAACGTGGCCATCTAGATATTGTTGAACTCTTACTCAAATCTGGTACAGTACTTAGTAATAAATCAGCATAAAAGTGAAAAATTACATTTATTAATAGTAAATAAAGGAATTTGTAAATGTTATTGATGAAATCTTGTTCCAGGGTGTAAAGTAGATTTAACAGCTTCTGAAGGACTAACAGCATTACACATAGCAGCCATGGAAAATGAAACAAATATTGCTAAGATGCTTTTGAGTGCAGGCAGTCAAGTCAATAACAAAACTCATGAAAAAATAACAGCACTACATTTTGCAGCATCTAGAGGATATTTAGATATGGTTAGTTTTGATAATCAGATAAAATTAGTTTCACTACTTTTTTCTATTGTCTCATTCTTAATAACAAATTACAGGTCAAGGTGCTAGTCGCTGAAGGGGCTAATATCGAGTCTAGGGACACTAATGAGCGGACTCCTTTGTATGTAGCCGTCATGAAAGGACATCCGAATGTGGTTGAGTACCTTATTAGTGTTGGTGCAAATGTAAATAGTGAAGAGATTCATGGTAAGTTTATAGTACTTGACTGAACATAGATAACACGCTTTGAAAATTCACATACCTACCAAACTAAAATCCATTGATTGTATTTTTTTTTTTCAGGATACACACCACTTTGTGAAGCTGTATGGGAAAGATTACCAGACATTGTTGAACTTCTTTTGAAAGCAGGTGCTCGAATAACACATTCACATAGGTTGATTCACAATGCCATTATTCAAGGCCAGGTCAGTCATCATTCTCATAATGCTTGCTACTTCTACATTTAAACACCACATTACAAGTTAAATTACAACAGTCATGTTTGAAAATGNAACAAAAAAAACGAACAACAATTTTTTAGTTTAAGATATTATACATCTCACACATATTTTTTTTTCTTGTTTGGATCATCCATTTAGGAGGAGTAGGGATTCAAAGAGAGGTCTATTTTGCAGTTTTGCCTCACCTATCGCCTTAATGCATTAAATCTTTTTTCCATTTAGGAACCGATTGTAAAAATGCTAGCAGGTGTTGGAGGAGGAATAAATTTGCATAATGATAATGGTGATACGGCGCTTCTACTGGCTGTACGCTTGTCACAACTTAGAGATGTTCGGCACTTGCTTGCCAAAGGTATGATCTTCATCATTATTTACTCATTAGAGCTATAGCGCTAGTATGCAATAGTCAGTAGATGGTAAATAGTTACAATTCTAAACTTAACAAGATAAATATTAACCGATTGAGGCCTAGACGGCATTAATTAATGTCATAACAATTGATTATTCTATTGTGTCTAGATTCGCGGAGCTTGAAGGATTAATGTAGTAATGTTATTTACAGGTGCAAATATTAATGCAAGCAATAGTATAACTGGCGCGAATGCTTTGCACGTCGCCGTGGAATGCATCGAATATTTAGAAAATTTTGAAGAGTTATTGGAATGCCTAATAGAACATAAGATTGATATGAATCATACTGCTCTCACAGGAGACACCCCTCTGAATAGAGCTTTGTTGTTGCATAGGTGAGTACATAGAAATGGTTTTTTATTTCTCTATTTTAATATTGCACAGTTAAAACCAGTAAAAATATAAATAAAACGCATTCAGACACGAACATAAAATAAACAATATAATAATGATGATAATACTTATTTTTTAGGGACTATGCCGCACTGTTACTTATAAGGCATGGGGCCGACGTAAATTGCTGTGATGTGCGAAAATGCGGATTGGATAATCTTTCTATAGCTAGTCGACGACGTAATGCCGATCTTGTCAACTTACTTATCAGAGCCGGGCACTATTTGCCCTATCCAGAAATTTATGAACAGTCTCCTAAGCCCGGAAGCACCGCAGAATGGCTGCAAGCCATTAGCCTAACTAAGCAACCTTTGAGTCTTACGGATCTCTGCAGGATACAGATTCGACGTTCATGCCAGAATATGGGATTGTTTACATCGGTAAATCGCTTACCATTACCAACAACCTTAAAACGCTTCCTCACCATGCAAGACGAGTATGAATGGTTGATCAATGAATGACAGAACCTACATAACCTTTTCAGGAATGCCGGTGCACAGCTAGGCATTATTTTACGCAGGTTGAAATCACTGTAAGAAGTGAACACATTTGCGGCCTGAAAAGGGATAATCGCAAGTTGCGCGATTATTTACGATCGATCAAGATTAATTTAAAATCTAGTCATGAACAACTAACCGTAGAAGTGCGCCTGCGATGGCTAGTGTGACAGCAGTGACAGCGAGCAACCCTCGTGAAACCTCGTTACGGACGTAAAAACGTGTAGTGAAAATTTAATGTGCTATATTTATTTATTGTTATAATAATAATTCTTGAATACGGTGCGGTGTGACAACACCCGCAATGTATATTCGGACGCGTGACCGAAATCAGCTAGTTGGAAAAATTATGTTTTATGCGGAGGCCGCAGTCCACAATCGTGTGGGCGCGGTTTCGTGACTTCTTAGCATTAGCAGACAAATTTTTTAGTTAATTTTTCTGTTGGTTGTTTGATACATAATCAATAGACATATTATATGTGTTTTCTTTTAAGAACCTAGTGGTTTATTGTAGATATTACACTGTCTAAGACTATTATTAAATAAAATTAAGTGTAAAATTATTAATTAATTTATTATTATTATTATAAAACGAAATATTGTCATAATGAATGCCTTTACAAAGGTAACCTTGAAGTCATTATATTCAATCTATACTACATAATATTATAAATGCGAAAGTAACTCTGTCTAGTCCAGTAGAATTAAACACAAAAATTGATTAAATCGGAAATAATTCCTACAAAAGATTTTTTTGCTTTAATGGCTTCATTGGTTGCCCATTAAGACTCTCCTAAGTTTTCGACTTCGACGGAGTTGTGCTTAAGTGGTGGGGGCCCCCGAAAGGGGCATTTTTTCGGTTTTCCGGTTATACCGCGTAAAGGACTTACCCTATCAAAAAGTGGTCTTCATGACGGTTGAAGGGCACTTAATCCTGCATTGAATAAGACCAAATTCATATGTTTTGGACAAACCGTTCTCGCGCTAAAGTTCGGCAAAGTAGAAAATATACGTATAATTAATGACCCTCTCCACGTCCAATGGCTTGTTACCCACATGCTTCCAAGCCTTGTAAAGGGTCGCCTTAACCAGTGTAACCCTAACAAGGCTCACGAGTTTGATTCGCTTATCCTTGTTCGTCCCAGCCGTTCCTTAACTGCGGTTGCTGCACCTCTTCCTGGCACTCTCCTGAACGACTCTGTGTTACCTAATGTGGCTGCCCCTCTTCCTTGTACCCTCCTGTACGATTTCATTGCTTAGCCATATGCCTGGTCCAAGGTTCGACGCCACAAAATCAACTTCGTACGAGTGAAAATAGTTTAAATACTATTTCCCGTGCTTGCAACATTTTTCTTTACTGCTTCGCCTCTATTAGTCGTAGAGTGATTGTATATATCCTATAGCCTTCCTCAATGTATGAGCTATTCAACACAAAAATAATGATTTCAATCAAACTAGTAATTCTTAAGATTAGCGCGTTCAAACAAACAAACAAAAAACTCTTCAGCGTTTTAATATGAACTTGTTGTTGTTGATTTTTGGCGTCGAACCTTAGACCAGGCATACGGCTAGGCAACGTAGTCATGCAGGAGGATACAAGGAAGAGGGGCAGCCACAGTAGGTAACACAGAGTCGTTCAGGTGAGTGCCAGGAAGAGGTGCAGCAACCGCAGTTAAGGAACGTCTGGGACGAACAAGGATAGGCGCATCAAGCTCGTAAGCCTTGATAGGGTTACACTGGTTGAGGTGGCTCTTTTCAAGACTTGGAAGCCTGTGGGTAACAAACCATTGGACGTGAAGAGGGTCATTAATTATACGTATATTTTCTACTTTGCCGAACTTTAGCGCGAGAACGGTTTGTCCAAAACATATGAATTTGGTCTTATTCAATGCAGGATTAAGTGCCCTTCAACCGTCATGAAGACCACTTTTTGATAGGGTAAGTCCTTTACGCGGTATAACCGGAAAACCGAAAAAATGCCTCTTTCGGGGGCCCCCACCACTTAAGCACAACTCCGTCGAAGTCGAAAACTTAGGAGAGTCTTAATGGGCAACCAAAGAAGCCATTAAAACAATAAAATCTTTTGTAGGAATTATTTCCGATTTAAAAGCTAATTCTACTGGACTAGTCTGTCTGTCTTGCTTTCACGTCTAAACCAATGAACCGATTTTGATGAAATTTGGTAAAGAGATAGTTTGAGTCCCGGGAAAGGACATAGGATAGTTACTGTGGCAGACAAAATTCAACGCGGGCGAAGCCGCGGGCGGAAAGCTAGTCTGTATTATAAAAGACATTTGTGTTACTATATCGAAAAGTAGGTATGTCCTAAATATAATTTGTATTTATCTAAATGTGTACCTATGACAAGTGCATGCTTTTAATGTTCAACAAATAAAGGATAATACTTCTTACTCATTTTTTTTCGACTTTACATGAACATCTTTCGTAAAATGAGTCGTCTAGTTTCAAAACCCGCTAAAACGCTTCTGCAACGAATTTCTGTTTATATCTCTAAATGACGTTACTGCAATTTTCTCATCATACTGTTCAATCATTTTCGATCAAAATTCGCTAAAAGACTACTAAACTAGCACTTAAAATTTGGTTTGTGTTACAAACTCCGCCAAAACGCCGTCCGTTTCTTTCAAAACCCTCTAAAAATTGATTGACCAATGGCAGCACGGTATTTTGGTCACGTGACTGCAAAATCAGTATGGAGATTTTTTCATAACATGCTTAAGGTTGCTGCGGTTTTTTATTGTTTTTGATCCAAAATAATGGAAGATTTATCTCAGTTCGTGGAAAAATGTAACCCTAAAGACGCAAGAAAGGAACCACGTAATGAAATAGCCTGGAAACGCACCAAGGAGCGCCAGAAACGGAAAGAGAAATTTGTTAAAAAACTACTTTTGAAGCAGCTTTGATGGTGTTATGCAAAATTAACCATTTAGCTGTCGTTGGTTATTTGGGTTATAATCAATAATACTGTAAAGTTTCAACAAAATCCGTTCAGTAGTTTTTGCGTGAAAGAGTAACAAACATCCAGACATCCACACAAACTTTCGCATTTATAATATTAGTAGAATAATTATAACTTAGTAATTAACTAAAGGAACAAAAGTCATAAAGTCGCGTGTACTTTAAGGATTAATAACCATAAATATCTGGAGCTCCAATTGAATCACTTGTTTTCCAAAGAACACAAGTCCAAATTAATTGAAAAATTACGATAATAAACCTACATTTACAAACAAAAAAACTTTTAAATAAATTTTTAAACTTAAAGATAACGACTTGAATAAACGTATTTACGAGTACCTAAACTAACAGATACCTAGTTAACAAAAAAGTTTCAGTCTTTAAATCAGTCAGTTATACAAACATAATAAAATATAGCATCGTAGGTGAACATTATTAGTTTCGGTTAAGATCATTACTTGCAAATCAAATTAGTTAAAAAAAGGAAAGACTAGGCCAGTCTAAACGCAACGTTAACCTATTAAATAATTAAAAACTTACTTTTGTCTAAGAAAATAGGCTTTCAAGAATATTAAAGCTTCAAAATCGAAACTCGAGAATTCTCGAGCTCCGGTAATTTTTTTCTCGTCTCGAATGAAGCCAAATTTCTCGAGTTTTCTCGAGTTCGAGAAAGCTCGAGCAGAAACCCTAATCGAGATGACTACTACTATTATTATTTTAAAATAGAACAAATTTTGTGTAATTAAAAATAATAATGTTCCTAATTTTTTGTTTTGAATATTATTATTTGCTAAAATACTTCAGTGAGGGGTTTATGTGCAATATAATACATTAATACAGAAATTATGTATTCTATTCATCTCGCGAATTCATTAACAAAATGTACGATGAAAGTGTTAGTAACTCGAAGATTAGTAATAATAACAATAGCATGTGTTTAATAGATATGTAATCATTTATTATCAACATAATACAAAGTCAATGTATACTCAAAGATGAAAACATAAACATTATACCTAGTGAAAATTCTAGACATGTAAGATGCATAATGGTGTATAGTCGACATTAAAAATATATTTACAGTGCTCAAAAATGCCTTTACAGTTGAGACAAAATACATGAACAGAAATAAAAGGTGTAATGATATTTTTGACGTCGACTTATTTAATGTAGTACCTATTTATTACTTGGATCTCTGTTAAAATACATATTATTACACATATTTAAAGGTTAAAAAATGATATGATTATTACACCATGTAAATGTTACCATTTAGTTTAAAAATCAGAACCTTCGTTTCTGTTACAGCATATCAACTGAGGATACATTCCACCAGCCCACCAACCAATAATAAGCAAGCATATGTGGCAAACTTTAATTAATTTACTATTGCCACACTACTAATATTTATTTAAACATTCGATAGTGAAAAAGCTGCCTAGATTGAAGAACATTGGTTGATGGGGTCCAAACTTATAACATTCTATTTTTATCCTCTTTTGAAAGACAAAATATCAGTGGTAACATATACATTTTAAAACCTAAAATTACAGGGATGGTATATATTGTTTACAAATTCATAATAAAATACTTAATTCATACTAATAAAATGTATTTTACTTAAAATTATATGGATTAAATATTGACATGACTGTTTTAGTAACACCCATGACTCCTTACTTCTGTTCCTATATCCTCACAGCACCTTAAATGTGCAGTTAAGTCTGATAATATAAAAACAAATATAAATGCTACAAAAATCTTGCTTTCCATTTTGTTTACAAACTTAAAAAAAATGCATACTCTTATTTTAGGGGTCCTAATGACATCCTTATTCAGGCGAAATAAAAGAGAACAACTTCATATCAGTTTCTCACTTGCTATCGCGAGTGACGTCAGTGAGATTCTGCAATGGTACATCTAAGTCTAGGCGCAGACTACATACTTTTAGTCGGCCGATAGTAGGGCCCGATTCTAATTTGTGTGAAGTATCCGCCGATACGATGTGCGCACTTTCATTCATCTCCATACTGATTAACAGCCAGACTCAACTATCGGCCAACTAAAAGTCGGTGGTCTGCGCCTAGACTAAACTGACCAAAGTGCAAATTGTTATCTTCTGCTTACTTTCACTTTTGATATTAACAGCTGGACAGATAGACCATTGAAAATGTTTAGAAATCTGGTACAGGTTAACAGAGTTGATACATTAATTATTGGGAATGGGCACAAAAAATGTTTTTTGCAAGTATGACTAGTATTACCACCAATATTAAATATTTACTATAAACAAAAGGTATTTCTTACTTTTGAATTCCTGATTGATTACTGATAATTGCAAAAATGTGGCAATATAAATAAACGCCTGCCATTTTATGTAAGCAATATTTGTGGTCATTTTCTAATGAAATCACATAAAATAATTGGTAGTAATACTGTAACACCAAAAATTTGGCCTCATAAAAATAATAAATAAACATTGATAATAATTTAAAAATAAAATATAACAGTAAATAATTATTTTAACATAAACTTATCATTGTTATCATATCAATAACTTACATACATTTCGATCATCAAGAGAATAACAAAATTATAAATGATTTTTCATTCTACTGGTTGTGACCAGTTATCATAATAATAAAACATGAAATTATTTAGGTTTTCTAAAAATAATATATTTTTAGTTTCATTTAAATATAGCAGCATACTTCTAATTAAATTAAATTATAGGTGTTATGAGAAATAATGTGTCTAATGACCAGTGGCGGATTAACGTATAAGCACTACAAGCACGTGCTTGGGGCCCCAGTTCTCCAGGGGCCTCCATCCTCTGCTGGCGCGCCAGGATGGAGGCGTTTCATTTCATACCTACATTTTATCGAGATTTAGCCTATGTTACTCGTAAGTAATGTAGCTTTCAAATGGTGAAAGAATATTTAAAAACGGTCCAGTAGTTTTTGAGCCTATTCATTACAACCAAACAAAGTTTTCCTCTTTATAATATTATAGTGTAGATAAAGTAAAGTGCGTTTTCACAAATATACAAGTGGCGTTTAAAGAAAGAAAGAATGAAAAATTTATTACGATGAACATCACTTATACATGACAGAGAAAAAGACAGAAATGGCACATAAATATTACAAGGAAATAAAAAGTGAACTGAACAGTGCTATCCTGTCGCAACAGCGATGCCCATCGCAATGGGATTCCACTCAGCATATGCCGTGGCCCACGGTGGGGAAGGCCACGACGCTGGTTTTCAGTGGGCCCCATGCCGAGTGGAAGTCACGGACACTAACCTAAACTGCATAATTATCAACAAGGCCGTTTAGATATAAATATATAACAATAATAATAATGTACAAACATTTGTTGAATAAACATAATTATAGTAAATTAATCCTTCAAGGNAACAAATAATAAATCAAATTCATGTTTAAATGCAGTTTATGACATAATTTTTAAATTGTCACTATTAATATTTTTTACTGAATAACCTGTAAAAGTTAATTCTACAATTTCTGAAAAATCACCTAAAAGTAACCTTTTCATTAGTGTAACCTAAAAGTAACCAATGCAGTTCAAAAGTAACCTAAAAGGTTACAAAAGTAACCTTCTGGCAACACTGCACCAGTACCAAATTACTCACGAATTTACGAAAATCTAGCGAAGTGAGTACGCGTGTCGTATAACTCGTATACGATTTTATTGTTAATATACCTACACCAAACACGGATTCATGCATGTCTCAGTTTAATAAAGTCTGATCCTATCCACCACGGTATTAAGATAAATAATGAAACACAAATGTTTATCAAGTATAGCCTGACCAGGAACATAAAAACCCTGGCATAGAGGCGCGTCAATTGCATTTGATAGTGCAACACTGAGTACAGTCGTACCTGTGTTAAATTAATAGGCTAACTTTATGTATCAGGATTCAGGATTACGGGCTATATATTAAAATAAACATGCGATGTGAAAAAAGAAGAGAAACAAAAGAAGTGTGCTAGTGTAAGACTAATATCATTGTGGTTGCGTTTAGAATCTTTCACAGCTTAATGATTACTAACTGCTTTGCTGAACGATCCTTCTCACAACTAAAAAGGTTAAAAAACCCGCAAAGAACAAAAATCCGTCCAGACAAGCTTAATTATTTAGCATTAATGTGTATTGAGGCAGACATACTTCGTCGGATAAATTTCGACGATGTAATCTCGGAGTTTGCTCTGATTAAGGCAAGGAAAATAATGTTTTAAGTTTTACATTTTACCTACTACACTTTCTATTTTGATGAACTTACATTTTATACTTTATACCTTCCATTCCATTCCTTCCATTGCCATTTAAGCAATAGAGGGCCTACACAGGCTCTGTGCTTAAGGCCTCGGATACTCTTAATCCGCCACTGCTAATGACAAGTTTCGTTTACACAACAAGCTAAAAAAGTCAACAAATGATCAGAGTTTATAAAAAAGGTAAAGTGCATAAATTAGATACAAATATTTTGTTATTCAGGTATATCAGGACGTCTGCCTTTAAAGTCTTTAATGTGATGTAACTGAGGACATGCATCTAATAAAATCCTGACCAGTTCAAACTTGTTGTTTTCCAAAGCTTTGTGAAGAGCTGTCTGTCCATCAACATCCTGCATGTCTACAGTTGCTCCCGAATCAATAAGAAACTTCACTGCTGTGGTGTTTCCTGAAAACAAAATGATATTTTTTATAAATGTTAAATTTATAAAAGTTAACATGCCTCTTCCAATCTCAATCCAAGAAATTCATTTGGTAATTTACCTGCTGCAGCAGCTTTGTGGAGAGGTGTTGCTTTGCCACTTTTGGTTTGAGCGTCGATACAAGCTCCATTTTTTAACAATATGTCACAAACGTCAGTGTGCCCATTCCGTGCAGCATAGTGAAGTGCAGTGTATCCCGAATTGTCAGGGGCATTGACTGTGTCTTTAATGTTTGATGCTTTAGAAATCAGGGCATTAACTCTTTCTATATCACCATTAAATGCTGAAAGTAGAATTTATGTTATAATAAATCAAAATAAAAACTTAATTGGTTTCCATCCATCCATCTACTACAAATAATTAATATTTATTTATTAATTGTGCAGATTGAAACAATAACAAATTCAATTTGTAATTGAATTAAAAATTTTGTACAGTCAAATAATCAGATAAGAATACTTTAATTACCTGCATACCATAAGCCCCTTTCCCAATCCATTTCAGATAATGTTTGACAGACTGATTGATTGGAATTAGCTGCAGTGCAGTTGGTGTGGTCACAATCACTTTTGTGTTCCATTATAATAATTTGTGTTTTAGTTAGAAGAAAAACAATTCAGTGATTTTATCAGTTAGATCTCCTTTTGCATAGTCCAAGTGATTTCAGACTCGCCAGTGCTGGAAATGATCCTGTACCCAAGTTTGCTAAATAAATTTATGACTTCGACAACATTGTCTCGAATAGAAAAGCCATTCAAGCCGACGTCATATTTTTTCGCCAGAACCCTTACTTCTTCTTCTTGTGCTCCAAATACAGAACAATCTGTTGCATGCAATGAACCTTTAATTGCTATGTATACAACCCCTTCTTTTTTCATCAACAGTGGGTTGCTCAAAGAGCTTGCTAGAATTTTCGGACTACCTTTAGTGTCCATAATAAAATTAGTCAAAAATTTTAAAACAGATAAAAAATATCAAATTTTAAAAATTCAATGATATAAATTTACACCTCGTCGTCCTTATTTTGGTGCTGATAATTGCCCAAGTGCATAGCCTCCTTACTAAAATTTGTGATGTTATCTTGCTCTACAATAATAGAAGGTTCTGGTTCAGAAAACTCTTTTCTCATAGTCCACATGTACTCATTATAATCCTGTTTAACGGCTGTGGAACTAGACGCGACAACCTTGTAACCCAACACCTGCAAAGTTTATTGATTACTTACATGAGTCATCTACATACAACTACTCTGTGGATGATTGGCTTTTATGTGTAAGTAAATAATGTAGCAGATCTTACCTCTAACGCACTGAGAATAACACAAGGATGCTGTAAGTAGACAATAGTGGAATCGTCGCAGTATCCTCCACAAGCAAATCTCTTCAACTGCTCTATATCGCCAGCTGCAAAAGACGAAGTATAGATTGGATTACACAAATAAGAGACAAATTACAATTTAACTATATTAACTACATCACAAATAAGCCGACTACGCCTAAAATTAATAAAGTATCTCCAGTAAATTTGTTCAAAATCTACCTTTTAGTCCGGACACCAATACACGCCAAGGGTTTTTATGCCCATATGATGCAAGATTGCCCCTTATCAAAATGTATGGCATTGATTACAGATATTTTTCCACTTGTACAGTTATTTATTGAACTGATTACTTACAGTATTTTATTTTATTTATTTTGACCAACAAATACGCTGCAAACTCCAACAAGAGAAAACTGGAAATAATGTTGCCAGTAACACCAGTACAGTGTTGCCAGTCGGGTCTTGTCAGAAATTACCAGAAATATAAAAAAAAGTAACCTTTTTGAATAAAAAGTAACCTTCAATACGGGGGGGGGGGGTGCGGAGCGATTGTGTAAAGGTTGTTCATGGATGGAAAATGACTACAATTGATCATCAATCGTTTACCTAAATTCGAAATTTTGATCATTCCATGAAGACCGAAAAGTGACCGGTCGTATAAAACCGTTTCCTGGATTTGCGTTTTATTATCGAAAAACATTCGCTAAAATTCATTTTCTTTAACAAATAATAAATCAAATTCATGTTTAAATGCAGTTTATGACATAATTTTTAAATTGTCACTATTAATATTTTTTACTGAATAACCTGTAAAAGTTAATTCTACAATTTCTGAAAAATCACCTAAAAGTAACCTTTTCATTAGTGTAACCTAAAAGTAACCAATGCAGTTCAAAAGTAACCTAAAAGGTTACAAAAGTAACCTTCTGGCAACACTGCACCAGTACCAAATTACTCACGAATTTACGAAAATCTAGCGAAGTGAGTACGCGTGTCGTATAACTCGTATACGATTTTATTGTTAATATACCTACACCAAACACGGATTCATGCATGTCTCAGTTTAATAAAGTCTGATCCTATCCACCACGGTATTAAGATAAATAATGAAACACAAATGTTTATCAAGTATAGCCTGACCAGGAACATAAAAACCCTGGCATAGAGGCGCGTCAATTGCATTTGATAGTGCAACACTGAGTACAGTCGTACCTGTGTTAAATTAATAGGCTAACTTTATGTATCAGGATTCAGGATTACGGGCTAATTTGATATTTTCATAAATTAACGAAAAAATATTATTATAGGTAACCTGATTTAAATAAATTAAATGAAACCATCAATCGAGCTAGAAGAATTTATTTTATTATTCATCAATAATCAAATTCAGAACTTGAATATTCAACTGCAATGTCTGCTCATGAACACTTCAAACTCGGCACTTCTTTCCCAATCCCATAAAATTCAACACTTAGAAAGTGACAAAAAAATTTAAAATAGGTAGTTGAAACAAACCACAGCTAATTTTCATAGTGGACTGTACTATACGATAAACATGTCAGTCAATTTGACAACCTTTGTCGGAAACAATAATCAATGAAAATATTGTCCGAACCCTTAGTATTTCTCTTCGACAAATACTTTAACACATTGTGAACCACTTTTCTTTCACGACTATAATAATATTTTAGCAATTTAATTCATAAAACCAATTGCGCACATTTAAAATAAAGTTTGTTTACACTTTGACAGCATTAGACTGACATGCAAGGTGACATGTCAATGAAGTTTTCAGTTACTGTTGCCATTAAAAGAAATTAGTACCATTAGTTTTCCGCAACATGGCGAGGGTTTTTATGTTCCTGGTCAGGCTATAAGTAAGTAATTTTGTTTCTTTTCTTTCGTAATTTCTTACTTATTAGTTTTCATAAGGTGTATTTTTGTACATAATTTGCACTAAAATTTTAACCTGGCAACATGCCATGTGACTTTTTATTTTTTAATGACCTAATTGTTTTCTCAAGCAAAGACATTCATAAATATTATATTTTATGTAAAATAGACTAAGAAAAATTAAAACTGATTATTTGGCTGTATGACGTAGCCCTTGCCTTTTCTGAAAAGGAAAGAGTCAAAGAATCAAACCTAATTAAATTACTGCGTAGGCGCAGATCACTAATTTTTCGTCGGCTGATATTTTAGTCGGGCAGATTAAAAAAAAAGTTAATCAGTATGGGCATCAATCTTATCTATGATGGGGACTTTTTGGCGGGAATCTGAAGCGTCATGTTAGCGGTTTTGTATTATTTCCTCAAATTCATGTTTGGGCGACTAAATTAATGTGTAATAATGGTGGATTATTAACCATTAAGTGTTCGTGAACGAACGTGCATGAGTGTGGGCAAGTGAAGCAAAGCAGTGCATCGTGATTCTTCTGATTCTCTCAAGTTGTCCTTATGAGGTCTCAGTAAAGCACCACAACTTTACTGAGACTCAAAGGGTGGGAAGGGGTATCATCTATTCATCTATCATCCTTTATTATATCATTAAGTATAAGATCTCATTTTGTAACTCGTAACTATCACATAAATACTTGAAAATGGCACAAATCAAGTCGACCTCGACGTGTATTGCCAACATCATCAAAAAAGAAGAAGAAGAAGAAGAAGAATCTATGATGGGCACGTATGGAAGTGCACACATTACACCGATTTGATTCTCATACAAATTAAAATCGTGCCGACCGACTTTGTACCAAAATGTTTTAAACAATTTACTTTTTATTTATTATTGCAAACCTGCTGTTATAAGCCGTCCTAAGTATAAGTTTTTCCGTTTTCCGCCCCACCACATTACCTACATATATTAATATCTAATACATATTTGTCTTCTGTAGGTCTAAAGTGGCACTTTTTGATCGATCTAAAGTCGAACCTTTGTAACTCCATACAAAGAAACGCTTTTTTGCTACTTGTCTAAGACACAAAAGTTCATTATTTAATTTAGTACTTAATACACTATCCAAGATTAGTCATGGGAATTGGGATCAACTAATTGGAAAGCTAATTGGTAATCGATTTCCCTCCATTCAATTCTAAGACAAGTAAGTAAATAGGTACCTAGTTACGTAGGCATTATGGAAGTCTAGACAATGTCTTCTGGAGAAACTCGCTTCATCTTAGATTTATTCTGTAGGTAAAAGTCCTGTTTTGTGCGTCGAGTGACATTGTAAATTTAAAAAGTTTAGTACTTAACTACGGAGCTAAGGTGAAATATTTCCGACAAAAAAAATTGCCCAATATTAATATCAACTGGTAATTTATGTATCGTAATTAAGATTTTGTTTAGGTACTTAACGTACTGTAAGTAGGTAATAGGTATCTACTTGTTTTATGTAAAACTATGTAATACCTACGTAACGTAACTAGGTATATTAATTTGAGAAACATGTTAGGAAATTAAATTGTTGTATCGCAATATCCGTTTTACTAGGAATCGTTTGTTTCAAGCATCAATTTGTTAATTGAGATATCTCGTAAAAGTTCGTAGGTTCCTACTGGCATAAAAGCACGGCTACGTGAAGCGTCGGCTCTGAAAAGCTCTGTGTACTTTTACTCACTCTGAATAGGGGACATTCTGACAAAAAGTCGGACGTATTTTCCATTACTTTGTGGCAAAGCGATTTGGCAAAATATTTACTGGGCAACTGTTGACAGTAGGCTAGTCATCTCAGATCATAGAAGGGAATAGATGTGAAACGGGGGCGTGGCGCGTGTCTCCGCGATATGCCCAGAAACGAACATCGCCCGCGACGCCAGGTTAGTCGCGATTCAGTCGTACTGAGGAAATGTTCTCCGATATTGTTGGATAATGCGTCGTAACGTGCAATAACATAAGTGAAACGAAGAACTACAGGAACAATGAAGTCATTTACCACATGTAAGTATTGCAAATCCATTGGTATTTTGCTTATAAATAAAAAAAACTAAACATTTTTACGAACGAATTCAGTGCCGTGACATTTACTGCGATATCGAAATTAGTGGTGATAAAAATTCAAACACGTTGTACATTGACGATTTAGTTAGCAACCACTTTATGTCATGCGTAACTACTGCGCAATGTATTTTATTTCTTCCGATATCCACTGACGCGTGAAAATACACAGTACGGCCGCATGTGCCGGTCGTAACATAGTGCAGGGCTCGTGTTCTAATACGGTTTCCTATTATCGATAAATAGAAGTAAATTATTATTTTCTATTTTCTAATTTTGAATGAAAAAATCATGAGTTGCTTGCGATTTTTAAGTTTTTACAAAAACAATAACAATAGTAGAAGGGATTAGTAACTGTCAACTATGTAATTACTATAAGAGCTAGTTGAAAGCCTAATATAGGCATTATTTTTGATAAACATAGGCGGTACGAATTTCGCCATAATTAAAAAGTTAATGCGCGATAGTAGTTAATAATAATTACAGTGATCCTGTTATTATTATTAAAGTAAATAATAATATATTACCAATATTGTAAATACTGGTAAAAATCGCAAGTACCTACTTAACCCATGACTTTTCATACAAACTTTGTCAGTCTATAACTTCTATACTCCATCGATAACGACATTGAGCTTTGGTTGGGGTAAATTAATATAAGGTAACTTCATTTAGTCCCAATAATTGATTCTGAGTTTTTCGTCCATACAAAATGGAACTGACTCCTTTATGCAAAAATCGTTAAAGAACATAATAATAACGTATAATAATAAAAAGGTTTTCATACAAGCATTTTTTAAACCAATTTCGAGCCTTGCCCCCAGGATTTAAAGTATCGATATCTTATCGACTCCATTTTATCTTTCTTCTCTCTAATTGCTTTTTTCAAAGTGTGCGTCACGTCACGCGGCCATTGATTGGCCATAAGGCACGCCTTCTGGCCAATCACAGCACTTTTAAGCCGGTTGCACATGTTGTCGTAGACTCTCAGTCGCTTTGTTTTTACACAGTTGAATGTGTGTGTGGGAGCTGTGGTGGGGGAAATGTGGGGACACTGGTTCTCGTTGTAGTTACGCGCGACTTCATATCTATTCTCTTTCTATGATCTGAGCTAGTCATCTTTTGATGTCAAGTAATTTGCCAGGCTATTACCTACACACTACACGTGGGTTTTTGCCTAATTATTTCCAAACTAGCTTTCCGCCCGCGGCTTCGCCCGCGTGGAATTTTGTCTGTCACAGAAAAACTTTATCGCGCGCGTCCCTGTTTCAAAAACCGGGATAAAAACTATCCTATGTTATTTCCCGGGACTCAAACTATCTCTATGCCAAATTTCATCAAAATCGGTTGCGAGGTTTAAGCGGGAAAGCGTAACAGACAGACAGACAGACAGACAGACAGACAGAGTTACTTTCGCATTTATA